CCAGGGGAGGCCTGCTGTGAATACAGCCTCCCCAGCATCAGATGGACTCCAGGTGTCCTCTCTCCCAGGAGCAGCAGCAGCATCACTCACAGGCCACCTGCCCCTCTGGGGGCTCATTCCAAATCACCCTTTATCTCTGCCAATGCCAAGCAGTGGCCGAGAGCAGAGAACAAAACTGCCCCCTGGGCCAGGCCTGTGACACATCCCCCTGCCTCTCTGTTCCCATCCCAGGTCCTGAAGGAGCGGAGTGGGGATAAAGCCCCTAATTGTTCCCATTTACCAACCTCACCACCCCATCTTTCCTTGTGTCCTGGTGGACAGATGTCGAAGTTTAGCCTCTTACACGCTCTCAAGAGGAAACAATTTTCATGACTCTACTATTAGTGAATACGAAGCAGACAGGAAAAGAAAGAAGAAAGATGGGCACAATTACTGCAGCCAGCCCCGTGCCAGACTCCTGTTATTTATCTCCAAATACTAGTTTCCATGTGGTGTGGGTTTGATCTAGATACAAGCATCTTGTCTACTTTAAAAATAATTATCTAGACATCTATTCTTTCCTTTTCACCTGAAAACTTTGAGGTGAAGAACTGAAAGGTCATGAGTGGTCCCGCTGCACAAATGGGCCAACTTTGGGGTTTATTCCAGCCCGTTCTCATCCCAAGGTTTTTATTTTTTTAATGCAGAGCCAAGTCCCAAACAAAGTATGCTGATGACTATTAGAAACTAAGCAAATTCAGAAGTCCAGAAAAAAAAGCAAACAAAAAAACAACAAGAAAAAAACAAAACAAAACAAAAAACACCAGGCTCTTTCCTCATCAAGAAAAGAAACAGGAACTGGGTGGGCAAGTCCTGAGCAGATGGCTGCCACCTCCCACTTCCCATGTTCCAAGGTGGACTTAGGACCCCGCCTTTTTGGGAACCACTTTTGATGGGTACCCTCCCGGGTCTTCTATCCTGCCAAACAGTCCACCCACCACCCCACCCCACCAAATACAAGAGGCTTTTGATTTTGATTAATCGAGGAAATTCGCACATTCCTTTACTGCTTTTCTGGAACTGTGAGTGTTTCCCATGCCCTGAGGCCCAGTTGCCCTGGTCAGGACAATTCTGATGGACAGCGGGTTGGGCTGATGAGTGACAGTCTTCTCCACGCTGGGGCTCCTCCCACAACAGCCTGCCGGCTTCTCCTGAGGCTTGATCACCACCTGCTGGTTATTAGAGGAAGCGCCTCCTCGGAGCCCCTTGGCAGGACCTCAAAGGTGCGCAGCTACTGTCGGCGGGTAGAGTCTGGAGGGCGGCGGGCAGGGACCAGAAACTTGGGACGCATGAAAAGAATGACAGAACCCAGGCACGAAGAATGACTCTCGATGTCCTCCTCCTAACACGTTCATATTATGATCCTCGCAGGAGAAAAAGAAATGGTGCAGAAAGGGATGTCAGATTATAGGCACGCAGTGCCACTGGGCGTGATGGGTTTGTGGGCAGGTGTGAACCCCAGGGACGGGGGAGCCTGGTGGGCTGCCGTCTATGGGGTCGCACAGAGTCGGATACGACTGAAGTGACTTAGCAGCAGCAACAGTGCATTTCTGAGAGATACTAGCCGGGATCGCTCCCTCCTTCTGTCTTTTATCCTCCTTCACGGACAGAATCTTGTTTATTGATCTAAAAGCAAAGCTAACAGCAGCCCCGGAAGCCACCCGGTCCCCTCATTTCAGACAGGAGTGTAGAAGGCAACTTGGGGAAGTCAAACAGGTGCCTTCCGTGCTTCTAGGGACCTTCCCCCTTTCCCCTCTATGCGCCTTCTAGAGGATGAACCAGGATGGTCTTATTCCCCCTTTTTTTTTTTTCATTCACCCACAGGAACCAACTGCTGGGCTGGGCTTTCGTTTTCCGTCGGTATTGAATCTGCAGCTGTCCCGGGTCTAGCGACACATCGGCCAGCAGCCACGGCCAGCTGGTCAGGCTTTACTCTAGTCTCTGGACACACAATGACAAGGGGGCCGCTGATTCTGCAGCCAAAGTGTGATCCAAGGAGATTCAGGGGAAGTGAACAGTACAGCTGCCGAAAGGGCCGGCCCTTGGGGCAAGAGGGACAAGCAGACCTGGCCTTGCCTGAGAGGCAGATGACTTCTGACTGCAGGGGAATGTCATATGCCTGGGGTGTTACTCATAGCCTTCGGGATAGCTCTCAGCCCTTCTCCTTGTGCGGGACATCCCTCTAACAAACTAGATCACCAGGAGAGATGAGGCTTAACACGGACCAACCTTCAGGAGAGGGACACAGCAAATGATAGCAAAGGCACCCTCCATGGAAAATGACTGATAACCCTGTATGTTAACTAACTTTTATTGAGTTCTTGCTATTTGTTTGGTGCTGTCCTAGAATCTCATTTAAGCCTGACAACAACCCCTGACAGGGTGGAGGAAGTATTCTTTTTCTCTTCATTTTGCAGATGAATAAGCACAGAGAGATTAATCGCTTTCCCAGAATCACACAGCTCAAGAATGATGCCGAATGCAGTGTCTGACCTAGAACATGTGCACATCACCACCTTGCTTGTTGCTTTCCTGTGATGCACATAGATTCCCATGGCGGGGAGTGTTCTGAACACAGGAAACAAGAGAGGGAGAAGCTGGTGACACAAAGGGTGGAGAAGTTAAGAAATCTCCAACCTTAATGCCACTTTATAATTTCATCTTGGGGCAGCCCATGCTAGTGTTTTCTGCAAACATGGAACCACTTCCTTTTCTGGTCTCTGCTGGAGCATGAAAGGATGCCAGCTTTACTGAAAGTAGATCTCTCCAATCTGAAAGTTAAACAGCACTCTGCACATATTTTAACTCTACGTTCTTGTCTATCATCCCGTTTTATTGCTCTGTAACCCTGTAGACGTTAAAGTGGGCTTAGAGACCTCCTTGGTGGTCCAGTGGCTAAGATTCCATGCTCCCATTGCAGCAGGCTGGGGTTCAATCCCTGGTCAGGGAAGTAGATCCCACATGCCACAATTAAAGAGGTTGCAACAAGGATCTCATGTGCTACAACTAAGACCCAGCACAACCAAATAAATAAATATTTTTTAAATAAAATACAGTGAGCTGGGAAGAGGTAGACAGCTATTACTTTCATTTGACAGGTTAGTAAAGGAAGACCAAGCGTATGAGTGATTTTATGACAATTGTAGGGCTAGTTATTAATACATGGCCCATTCAAGCCTGTAACCAGGGAGCCTGAAGTTCAGGCCTCTTTTCTGTTCACTAAAGCAGCAGTTCTCAGTATCAACATTACCTGGGAACCTGCTGGATGTGCAAATTCTTAGACTCCATCCCAGAGCTACTGAATGAGAAACTCTGGAGGCAGTGGCTGAGGTCTGTGTTTTAACCAACCCTCCTGGGGATGCTGACGCACCTGTGGCTGGAGAGTTAGTGTTGGGTGCGGGGGTTGCGCCTGCTACAGACTCTTCTCACACCTTTGCATGAAAGAGACTCTTCTTAACACCTTATGTTTATTTCCAGAATGGCCATGAAGTATATACTTAGAAGGCTTATAATGTAACGCCTTCCCAGGTGGTACAGTATGGTGCAGTAGTGAAGAATCCACCTGCTAATGTAGGAGATGCAGAAGACTCAGGTTTGATCCCTGGGTCAAGAAGATCCCCTGGAGGACGAAATGGCAACCCACTCCAGTATTCTCGCCTGGAGAATCCCATGGACAGAGGAGCCTGGTGGGCTACAGTCCATGGGGTCACGACTGAGCAACTGAACACACACATACACAAGGGATAGCCTGGACTACTCAGGCGCCTTTAAGTACTGGTATTTTCTTTTAGGAAACTTCTAGAGCCAGCTTTTTATGGGGCTTGTGTTGACTGAGGATGGGAACCTCAGCTCTCCTTATTTGATCTCTCCTGTAGCTTTCTCACCCCTGGCAGTGTGGTCTCCTTAGGAACAATGGAAAGAAAGTGTGTCTACAAATACTTTCTTCTACCTGATACTTCCAATTTGTTACTAAGATAATTTTATACAGGAACAGTAGATCAAATACACCTTAAAACTTAAAAAGAACTGAGAAAGACCTTTTGAATGATTACTCCCTCCCTCCACATGGACAAACACACAAATTCACATACAATTCTGGACGTTTTGAAGGTACTGACAAAATAGCTATTTGAATTTATTAAAGATTTTCCCCTAGAATCAGAGGAGGAAAGCAAATGCTGTTGCTAGGAGAAACCTTTATTTAAAATTCTTTAACACACAAGATCCTCAAAGAATAATAACACTATTGTGTCCGATGGAAAAACAGGTATTTGAGAATTGGATTCTGGTACAAAAAGAGTTGACTCGTTGGAAAAGACCCTGATGCTGGGAGGGATGGGGGGGCAGGGGGAGAAGGGGACGACAGAGGATAAGATGGCTGGATGGCATCACCGACTCGATGGGCATGAGTTTGAGTAAACTCCGGGAGTTTGTGATGGACAGGGAGGCCTTACGTGCTGTGGTTCATGGGTCGCAAAGAGTCAGACACGACTGAGGGACTGAACTGAACTGAACAAAAAGAAGTGTGCATTTCATTGTCTATGTCTTACCTGCAGTAGAAAGCAGAGAGTTTCTACTAGTTATTCATTCAGTTATTGGTCCATTCATTTGTTTTTGCTGACTGATCCCCTGTGCTGGGCCAGGCAGGCTCCCAGGCATTGGGCTAGCAGGGTACAGGAGAGTCTGCCCACATGGAGCTTACCATCTATGAGAAAGACAGTCCACTAAAGAATTTACAGTCGGGGGTATGAGTGCGGTCATGGCACACACTGGGTTCATCGGGAGCGCAGAGCAGGGTGACAGAGCCACGTGGGGCAGGGGCGTAGAAAACAGAAGGGTAACCCAGGAGGCTGGAGGCAAAGCAAGGCTGGAAAAACAGCCCCAACTACACCGAACACTGGAAGGAAAGGGCGGGTCCAAGGGCAGGGGGCATTTCTGCTTCTGGCTGAGGTCCTGGGGCATCACTGCCTTGACCTTTGGTAAAGGATGGAGATGATGGTGAAGGTCAAGAAGACCATGCTGGCCACGCCTCCAATCAGCAGGCCCAGGACGCTGCTATGCAGCTGCAGGGCCTGACAGCGCTCCCCCGTGTAGAAGAAGGCGGGGCCCGAGACGCACCTGGGGAGACAGGACGGGGCGGGGGGAGGGGAGGGGGGAGGGTGAGACAGCAACAATGGCCTTGTTAATCGCATTTGCATTCATTAATGCTCATTTCTTGGCTTTGCTAATTGGAATTTGGTTACCGAAGGTGTTGACTCTAGGTACTAGGAATTCTGTAGCATTGTATCAGTGTATCTGCACATCTGGAATTATCTCAAAATAAAAGTTTAACAAAGAAGAAACAAAGTGGAGATCAAAAAATGCTGAGAAGGGGACTTCCCTGGTGATCCAGTGGTTAGGATTCTGCACTTTCACTGCAGAATGGGTTCTGCTCTGGGTTCGATCCCTGGTCAGAGAACTAAGATCCCACATGCCACAGGGCATGGCCAAGAAAAAAAAACTCAGTAATTAAAGAACATTTCCTTTACTATTAAAAAAAATAAAAAATAATACAAAAATCCATGATGAATAAAAAAGTCAAAGTTTAAAGAAAAAAAGAGGTGAGAAGAAATGTTGATATTTTGAACAAATCAGACCAGCTCCCACATCTGCTACTATTCGGTCAAATGAAAGTGATGCTTCTGTCATCCCATACATCCTTTTATGAAATATTTTATACAAATAACAAGCATTATAATAAGAATTATTAAACAGAGCAAAGTACAGATAGTCAGACCTGGATGCAGTTCCCAGCTCCAGCATTTACAGGCAAATTACTTATGTCTTTAAGTTTCAAATTTCTTATGCCCTACGGGGGGATAAGAAGGGCCTTTATGTCACAGGGCGGCTGTGAAGAATAATTTAGATCATGCATGCATACTGCTTGGGGAAGCACACGACATACAGCAAGCAGCCCCCAAATATCAGATATTTTTATTACTATTATTGAAAACATAACTATGATTATAGGACAATGAACTAATGGACAATAGAAATAATCATAATTAATAACTCATAAGAATATCTGTAGTCAGGGCAGATTTAAGCTTGGTCCTGAGTCTCGCCATGATGGAGCATGGAAGCTAAAAGCTCTGGGTCACTCTTAAGCCCTGCAGTAGAGTTCAAAATTCCAACAACATTCAAGCTGTTGTTGACGATGCCCCAGAGGAGATTCAAGACTCTTCTGCTCTGGCAGGACCCTGGCTCTGCCCGTCAATCTGGGACACAGACTCGTGGAGTCCAAGACAGCCACAGTTGACCATCTGATGCTATAGATGCTCTGAGCTGAGAACTGTGCCTTCTAGCAGGATAAGAAGACATGGGGCTCCTCTCTGCCACCCCTCACCTGTGCCCCTCCCGACCACGGGCCTACCTGCAGCTCACCATCCCCTTCACGTTCATGCAGATGCCCTCATTTTGACAAGGGTTCGGGTCACACGGGTCTCTGAAGTACTGTGACCAATTGTGGTCCTCTAGGGGGCCTGTGTTGTCCACTGACCGCTTCTGTCGGCTATGCTGCCCCTGGTCCAGGCTGCTCGGGAGGGCTGTCTCTAGAGAGGCCTTTCTCGAATCTTCTGAGGTCTGCTGCTCCTGGCCATGGAGAACAAGGCCTTGGGGGGTCAGCCTGCTGGTTTGAACTTGAACTTCAGTCTGGTTAAGATGGGTGATATCTCGAGGAAATAGACAAAGGGACATGAGGACAATTCACTTTCACTCCTGGAGAAAGTTCCCTGGGCTGCGTCTACTGCTCTTGGATATCACCTTTAGTGACACAGGAAAGTGGCTTTGAATCCAGTAGATTTTTATAATGTCAGTTATTTATTTATTATTTATTATTTTTATTGATGTATACAACTGACTTAAATATTATATCAGTCTTAAGTTGTTCAACATAGTAACTTGACATTTTTATAGTTACAATCCCCATAAAGTTATTATAAATATTGACTATATTCCCTGTGTTGTACATTACGCCCTTGTAATTTATTTCATACGTAGTAGTTTGTACCTCTTAATCCCCTCCGCCTAATTTGTCCTCCCCTCTACCACTCTGGTTCCCTATATCTGTGAGTCTGTTTTATTATATTCATTCATTTGTTTCATTTTTCATATTTCACATATAAGTGAAAACACAGAATACTTGGCTTTCTCTGTCTGACTGATTTCACTAAGCATAATACTCTCCAAGTCCGTCATGTTGTCACACATGGCAAGACTTCATTCTTTTTTTGCTGTGTTTATTTTTAAAAGTAGTCCAATTATGGTTTTATCTATTTAACTTGAAAAAAAAGAAGCATCACGTGAGCATGGATAGATTGACATTACACTGAAGTCAGTCTGAAAACTGTCACATTTGATAAATTATGAAAAAAGATGGCACTAAAATTGTAGCTTCTCCCAAGGACAGTTCAAATGAAGACAGAAGACCTTGAAAAAAGGAGTAAAACTTTGTTCCCTTAGAGCAGAACTATTTTTTAACCTAGTTGCCCCCCAGAATATCCCCACCTTTCATGAGATACTTAAAAGTCCATGTAAAATTAGTAGAACACCCAGAACATAGGATTCAGGAAAGGAAGCAAAATACCTTCAAAGTCCACAAAAATTATAAGGTCATCATTTTTAAGGAAGCTTCTCCTTTTCAGCATGTGGTGGGAGACGACAGCACTCCAACCCCAGTCAATGCTTCTGAAACATTCACAACTGTTGTCATAGGACCCCACGACTGAGGGCCTGTCCCAGATGACGGAGCCATTTATAGCTGCAAAGTTACAGATAACAGAAAATCACATTATCGCTTTATCTTTCACTTTCCACTTGTCTTTGATGAGTATAGAGTTTTGTGGGATTTTTTTTTAATTAAAGTATAATTGACTTACAATTGTATGTTAATTTCTACTGTACAGCAAAGTGATTCAGTTATACATGTATGTATATATACATTTTTTAAACATTCTTTTCTATTATGGTTTATCATAAGATACTGAATATAGTTCTCTGTACTATACAATAGAACCCTGTTTATCCATAAGGGCTTTGTTAATCAGAAAAAAAAATGTGTTGGAAAAAATCAGGTTATTTACTTTTTCCAGGAGAATTAAAACTGAGAATTGGGAGAGGTAGGAGCAGAGAGAACCACTGCTCCGAAGGGTCATGGTCCAGTACTGAGTGACTTCCCCAATGAAGGGGAAGAGACAGCTATAGCATCTTCCTTTTAAGGCTTACGTCTCTTCTTTTGAAAAAAAAATAACTTGCCCATTTCTTTATTATGCAGTTTTGCTTCATGGACATACTGCCAATCAGTAATTTAGGAGTCAGTGCATCAGTTCAGCACAGAGCCTCACAAATTCTGAGTATTTAACCACTGACTAGCTCAGTGAAGCAGGATCTGCCTGATTTGCTTGTAGTCTAAGGAACTGGCACATAATTTGGCACATTGCGAGCCCTTACTAGATGCTCGATGGATGAATTTATGAACGTGAGAGAAGATGATATGGAAAATTTTAATTTACATAGAAAAACAAACATTACTAAAGGGGAAAGGGAGTAGGGGGGATAAATTAGGAGTTTGGGATTAGCAGCTACAAATTACTGTATACAAGATAGATAAACAACAAAATCCTACCAGATGGCACATGGAACTATATTCAACAGCCTGTAATAAACCATCAGAGAAAAGAATATGAAAAAGAATATATGTGTATAACTGAATCACTCTGCTGTCCACCAGAAACTAACACAGCATTGTAAATAAACTATGCATCAATTGAAGAAAAAAGAAAAATTTAACTTAATGCTCCAACATGATGATATTTTTAAAATTTATTTTAAATTAGAGGATAAATGGTTTACAGTGTCAATTGCTTTATAATGTTGTGTGGTTCCTGGCGTACAACATGAATCCACCCTAAGTATACATATATCCCCTCCCTCCCAATCCCCCATCCCACCCCTCCAGGCCGTCGCAGAGCTCCTGGCTGAGCTCCCCGTGCTACACACCAGCTTCCCAGCAGCTATCTATTTTAGGCACGGCAGTGGATATACCAATATGTGCCCAAGGAGGAAGTGTGAGAAGAAAGTTCATTTCTCCTGTACAGATGGGAACCGTATCTGGTGGCCCTTCCAGGTGGAGGAGCAGTTCTTCCAACCACCTACCTGTAGATGTCTGGGACTTGGACGTAGTAAACACCATGCTAGAGGACATTCTCTTTCTGACATCAGCTTCCTGGTCGAGTATCGTCATGATCACCTGTCTGTTCTCCACTGGCCACTCGAGGACAGCATCATTCTCTCCACTGCACAGGTGAAAGCTGAGTCCCAAGTACCCAGAATTCCCGGAGCTCGTTCTGCCCTGAGGGTACAAGGTCAACCCCAAACCGTAGCCCTCTGAATTGTAGAATCGAGGGCTGTGGAGTTTGTCCCCATTCACCGTGTTCTGCAGGACCTGGGAGAAATTCCGGACTGTCCAAACCCCTGTGGGGCATGGGGTTTCTGTCAGAGTGATGTCATCCAGGTAAATTCCCCCACTCGAGTTCTGGGGGTCACCTTTCGTGCCCTGGAAAAGGTAGCGAAACTTCTTTTCCTCTCTGAGTGTCACATGGGCGATTTTCCAATTGTGATCAAAATCTCCTGAGGATAGAGAATAAAATTGGTAACAACTGTGGCCAGCATTTTTGGCCTTTGAGCCTGGTACTGCGGCAAGTGCTTTACATGAATGATCTCATGTAAACTTCACAAACAAACACAGCAGAGATCTGCTATAAACTTAAGAAACATTTCCAAAGTCACACATCTGATATGGGAAAACAGCTAAAAAAGAGGGAAAAAAAGACCTACTCTGATTTCTCATAAAAATCATAATTATGAATTTGTTTTCTATTATTATTTCATTCTGCAGGTTCTGGGTTTTCCCCTGGTACAATGCACAGCATGCCTTAATATTAGCACTGCATGCTCCCAAAAGACATTTGATAAGCCAAAAGTCAAAAGATGGCAATTTCATATGTCCGTATTTACAATCCTTGGTAACACAGCAAATTCTTGCCTCTTAAAGGGCACCTAGCTGTCATCCCTCCATTTACTAAAGATGCTCTGTAAATTTCAGCCAGAAAAGTGAACTCCTCAAAACCATTATTTGTAGCATTTCTACTCACAGAGTGGCCTGAGTAGGGACAATTTGGGCCCCTGTTCTTCTGAGTAGCCTTTGACAAAGGAAGCCTCCTCCTTTCAAGAGCAGCAGCTTCTGGGGACTTTTCTAGTGGTTTAGCGGTTAAAACTCCATGCTTACACTACAGAGGGCATGGGTTCAATCCTTGGTTGGGGAACTAAGATCCCACATACTCGGCAGCATGGCCAAAATATTAAAAAATATATAAATAAAACCAACATTGACTGGTTTTGGGAACTTCCCTGGCTGTCCAACAGTTAAGATTCCACTCTTTAATCCAGGAGGCATGAGTTCCATCCCTTGTCAGAGAACTAAGATCCCACAAGCCCCATGGCACAGCCAAGAAAATTTGTTTTTAAAAAAAAGAGCAGCAACTTCTTCTGGAAGTACACAGAATGCTTCATCTGGACTCATCATTTTAACTGAGAAATTCTTTGCTGAATGAAAAAATAGAAAAACATATTTCTCCCTTTCTGTTTATGAATGAACTATCACCACAATAAAAGAATGTGAGAATGTAAGTACTTAGCTTTTATAACCCTAGATCTTGATTTTCAGCCAGATTACTCTCACATCCCCCTAACTACCTTAGCATTTTATTAATATGATTTTCATGATCTTCTCATAGAAATACACAAAATATCACTTAGGAATATATAAATGATTTTTAATGGTTAATGTATACAAATGGCTTCAGTTCAGTCACTCAGTCGTGTCTGACTCTTTGGAACCCCATGGACTGCAGTATGCCAGGCCTCCGTGTCCATCGCCAACTTCCAGAGTTTACTCAAACTCATGTCCATTGAGTCGGTGATGCCATCTAACCATCTCATCTTCTGTCGTCCCATTCTCCTCCCACCTTCAATCTTTCCCAGCATCAAGGTGTTTTCAAATGAATGGCTTACTTCCCACCAATTTCACAAGTAGGTTTCAAGGTACTTCAGTGTATTAAATAAAGGTATCCTTCACTTTGCTGAAACAGATGCAGAAACAACTGTGGTCCACTATCTAACCATGTTCTTTCCCTCAGCATCAATTCCTGCTTCCTTTAACCTTCCAGTCTCCACCCTGGAATCACCAGTTTTCTCTGTCCTGGCTTTCTCCAAAGTTCCAGAGAAAACTGGATATTTACATTTCGATCATTTCCTTTCTTCCTTCCCTGACTGGCCTCTTACAGTAGTATATTTCAGCCTCACTTGAAACCGCGGCTTTTGAATTGTTAAAGCATCCCTTGAGTGGTTAAAGCATGCCAGGCATTATGCATTTGGAAGAGGAAGAAAGGAGGCCAAGGGAAAGGAGGGAGACAGAGGAGAGGAAGATTGGGAGGAGGAGGCGGAATGGAGAGCGGGAGGAGGGTGAAACGGGCGGGGGAGGGGAAGGAGGGCAAAGAGCACAGTCCTGGGTGTGAAGCCCAGTCAGTCCCCGCAGGACGCCTCCAATTACCTTGAAAGGTCTTCACCTTGACCAGCTTGCGCACGATGCCCGTACTGTCATCCCTCCTGATCCAGACGACCAGTCTGTCTGAAGGGCTGCCTGTCATTTTATAGAAAAACTGCAGGCATTGCTGCTTCCTCTTGGGGTAAAGAATCCGAGACTCCAACATGGCCGCCTCCTCCGCTGCCCCGAAGCTGGTGTTCAAGTACATGAAGTAGCCGGCGCCTGTGGGGAGAGGACCCCACAGTCCCATCCCTGCCCATCCACACCCCAGGCTTCCCTCAGCCCAGGCAAGGTGACAACAGTGAGCCCCGGCCATTATCCAAGCAACAAAGGCCGGAACTCTTCAGAGGAAATAGAAAGGTGGCTTGTCAGTAAATACTCTATCTCCATTGACAGAATTGCTGGTGGAAGCCATAGCGCCCCACTATCTCTTTTTGATTACCTTCGTTCCCAAATTTGGGACATGTACACCTTTGATTTAAGGAAATACAGGGTTTAAGCAAAGTTTGATGGAATTTAGTGTCTATGAGATGAGTTCCATTTTCTTCATTAACTGTGTTGTTAAAAGATTCATTCCCAGGAAAAGAGCTGGCCTCCTAGTTATGTCAAAAATTGTGGGCTTCAAAGTTTTAAGGGTTGGATTTTACATATTCACAATGATAAGGATTCAGTTTCAACCTTTCCTAGCCAAATAACTGGGTGTAAATCACTAGTAATGAATCACCTTTCCTATGTCCAAAGAAGAGGCATTCAAAGCATGTTAGGGACCAATTGAGGGTTTCTCCTGAATGGAAAAAAAGTCTTGGAAGGACATCAAAATAGGAGGTAAAGGGTCTATATTTGTGCCAGAGGTTGGGTTCACCCAACTCAGGTATCTCAAAATTCTCTCTCCTCAAACAGGCAAGTGGCTAAACATAAACATCACTTGGAAAACCAGTTCACTTCTTCAAAGTCAAGGGCAATGAACAATTCTCGCATATAAAGAAGTCATTTAAACTTACTCCAGTGGTCATGTATGGATGTGAGAGTTAGAGTATAAAGAAAGCTGAGCACCGAAGAATTGATACGTTTGAACTGTGGTGTTGGAAGACTCTTGAGAGTCCCTTGGACTGCAAGGAGATCTAACCAGTCCATCCTAAAGGAAATCAGTCCTGAATATTCATTGGAAGGACTGATGCTGAAGCTGAAACTCCAATACTTTGGCTACCTGATAGGAAGAACTGACTCATTGGAAAAGAACCTGAATCTGGGAAAGATTGAAAGCAGGAGGAGAAGGGGATGACGGAGGATGAGATGGTTGGATGGCATCACCAACACAATGGACATGAGTTTGAGTAAGCTCCGGGAGTTGGTGATGGACAGGGAAGCCTGGCATGCTGCAGTCCGTGGGGTCGCAAAGAGTCGGACATGACTGAGCAACTGAACCGAACAGAACTGAACTGAATACACAACTTCTTACCAAATGCTCCACTCAAAACATTTCACCAAGTAAAAAGGAAGTAAACATCTGGTACATTTCTACGTTCTGTGGCACTACAAATGCCTGCTTCATCCTGCCTCATACATGGGGCACATGCCTTCCTTATTGACTGCAAGCAATGATATTTAAATAAGCTTTCCATAAAGCTGAAATATACTGTAATGGCTTTACTATTTCATCAGGGAAAATTATATTTTCCTGTATGATCTTCTCAATACTTGATCTTAGAAGCCTGAGACTTGAGTGTTGTGAATTGCCGAGGGCTTGGGTTAAGGTAAACAAGAGCTCACAGGTCTAAGAAGTTCTCCGGGTGGTCCTTGATCAAGAATTCCACCAGATGTAGTCAGAAGTATGAAGTGCAAATTCAGTAACTCAGATTGGGGAGTCAGGAGTCCTGAATTCTTGTCCTTATGCTGCCAATGACTGGGTGTGTGCACTCATCTGTCTGGGGTTCAAGTGGGAAATGGCTTCTATCCTTCAAGCTTTTTGAGTCTATGCATCTACCCAAATAATGCAGTGCTCTCTAGCGGAGGAAACCTGGTCCCACTAAGTGCCTCCTGTGGAAGAAGCATAGTGGCTGGTCAAGTTAGCCTGATAAAGCTTTTCAAGATCCTTCTCTGGGTCATGGTCCATTCCTTTCCTACTAAAGTGCTGGAATAGTCAGCAGATTCTTCTCACACAGAGGTCACGTTTCTGTTTAGCTGAACTTGCACGTTAACCTAGCAGCAAGCCTATAGGAGAGATTAGATTAGAGGCTACGATGGGGATTGAGAGAGAACCTCAGGTACACATCACCCTTTGACACTGGAGAGTATACGCTTAATAATCTGATGTGTGACAGAGACTTTCACCCTCTGTCTTGGCGGGAGGAAGAGGGGCCATGGTTTACAACCTCTGACAGTCCCCCTGCTGGCCTGGTATCTAGGTGATAAGCTAGATCTCTTCTGGGAAGGAACTCTAACCAACAGTCACACCGGTATGGACTAAGGGACTTGATAACAGCCCAGTCTCTAAAGGGCAATTATAATTTATTACCCCACCTGCTTGCAAATAGGGTTGACATGATTTCAATACCAAGCACATAATAAAAGGGTCTTAAATAGAAATTTAAAAATAAATAGAACCTCCAGAGAAAAGGGGAGAATGGGAGGAAAAAGTAATAGGGAGTGAAGCGACTGGTCTGCTCTTTAAGACTGTATGCTTTGTCTCCTTCCATGCTCACGATGAGGTATCAATAGCTTCATGGCTTGTTATTGTTATTTAGTCACTCAGTCTTGTCCAACTCTTTGTGACCCCATGGACAGTAGCCTGCCAGGCTCCTCTGTCCATGGGATTCTCCAGGCAAGAATACTGGAGTGAGTTGCCACTTCCTTCTCCAAGCTTGATGGCTTACAAAAGCCAAAAGACTTAACAGCAGCAACAAAAACAACTTCTTGTGGTCACAATTAGGCAGATGGAGCCAGATTTTAAACCCAGGTCTCCTCTGACTTTATGGCTTTTTTTCACAGCACAGATCATGTGTAGGAACTATCTGAAGTTATGCTATTCATTATAGCGGCTACCAAACATGAATGCTGATCGATCACTTGAACTGTGGTCAGTTCAAAGTGAAATGTGCTTTAAGGATAAAAGAATGCCAGATTTCAAATACTCACTATAAAAAACGGTGAAGTACCTCATTAATAGCTTCTATATAGATTACACATTGAAATGCTAAGATTTTGGGTATATTGGATTAAATTATATTATTGAAGAGACTCCTTTGTTTCTTTTTTTATGTGACTGTTAGGAAATTTTACATTACATATGTGGTTCGCACTGTAGTTCTATTGGAGGGCACAGCTCTAGAGACATTACCCTAATTTACAAACTCTCATCCTTTTTTTTTAGTTAAAAAATTTTTATTGAAGTATAGTTGATTTACAGTGCCATAACAGTTTTAGGCATGCAACACAATGATTCAGTTTTATATATATAAACTTTAGTGATTCAGTTTTTTATATATATATATATATATCACATATATATACATATCATATATATATACTACAACTCTCCCTATAATTATTACAAAATAATGAGTATAGTACCATGCACTACACACTACTGTATATAAAATAAACAATCTATAAGTACAAAGTTGTATCTTATCAACCATCTGTCTGTATCAGTTTTGTTATTGCTTAAATATATCTTTCTTTTGCATGTCCAGAATCTGATGCTTTTTATGGAGTTAATAATAAAGATATGAGAAATGTGTTTTGTCCTCATTCAGAGTTTCAGGGTTGATAACAAACATTCCGATTGAAGCAAAACCTGCGTCTGCCATTACCCCTTGAACCTGGTGAACCACCTCAGCGTAGTTCCTCGCTGCCTTTACTGACCTGTGCATTGTCCGGCCAAGGTGTGATCCGCTTGTCCAGGCTGAGCATTGTTCTCATGGACCCAGTCAGTATCATCCCTGGTACCCTGAATCATTCCACAGATGTTTGCCTTCTCAAAATCACAGTGGTCCAAAAAGGTGTGAGTTGTGGCTGCAAATGATATTTTTGTCACCTGGTTAAAAACTTGGGGCAGGTCATTTCAAATGCCTAACGTCTCAGGCTACTAAGACCTCCCTGTGTAGCAGGATCATGAAACTTTTGTTTTTATTTTATCAAATACAAATCCTACTGTCACCCATTAGATCATGGAACCTGCGAACACAGATGCAGCCCTACACACCTCACAGAGTCAAATGATAAAAATGCTTACCGTCATGCTTTGCTGTAAACGCCAACTGTGAACTCCTTTCAATTAAGAAAGAGGTACCAACTATGATGGGCCTTGCCCTTAGTAGATCTTCTCTACGTATATATTGAACAGGATTAAAGAATGTGTCTCAGAAGACTAGCGGAGCCATTTTAGACAACATCTCATCTCTGAGGATTAGATGACCCTAGGAGCCACTAAGCCCAACAAAGAATTTTGCAAGATGCAAAATACTTTCAAGCTTATAACTATCTTGAGCTTTACATGATAATGCATCCTTCAGAAGGAAGCCAAAGAAGTAGGACAATTCCAATTTCATTGGTCCAATACTCTCATTCCACAAAATGCAACCACGTAATTGATCTTCGTAACCATTCTGTGAGGTAGGTGTTGTATTTTTTTCTAAGGAGAGAGAAACTAAGTTTATGTAGTCTGTCCATTTCCCTTAATGAAATGGACAGGAAATTAGCAAATTAACACAAAGGAAAATGTATGGGAAACCTATAAGGTCAATGGGGGTATCCAGTCCTCAGACTCAGAGGTACTCACTGCAGTTGTACATTCGGTTCAGCCTTTCCAAATCAATGGCACTGAAATCCATACGCTGCCCAATGATGGAGTTAAACTCAGGGATCTTGGTGGTGATGGTAGGGACACTATCATTCTTGTTAAATGAGAGAGGCCGGTAGTGCATCAGAGACTCGTAATCATAGGGTGTGTTGAGGTCTGTGATGAAGCTGTCATCATAGGTGTTAAAGTTGTGCTGGTAACCTGTCAGGAGGGAGTCCACATGTCCTGAGTCGTCATGCCATTTCCCTGCCCCGCCCTCTGACTAGATACTCAAGCAGGGACCAAACAGGGGATGGGGCAGGATAATATTTCTTTGATTTAAGTATACACACACATTTAACATATTTTATAATTATATAATATATTAAAATTTTTATGTATTTATTAATATTTACTAATAATATTGCAATGTATTATGTTGTTTAGCCACTAAGTCATGTCTGACTCTTTGCAACCCCATGGACTATAGCCCACCAAGCTCTTCTGTCCATGGGATTTCGCAGGCAAGACTACTGAGGTGGGTAGCCATTTCCTTCTCCAGGAGATCTTCCCGACCCAGGGATTGAACCCGCATCTTCTGCATTAGCAGATGGCTTCTTTACGACTGAAGCCCTATTACAATGTATTAGTATGCTATATAATAGTGTATAAAATTACTATAATGAACATTAAAGTATATATTATATTAATAACAAATATGCACATATTTAATAGCATATAATATAAAATGCATGTTGTTAAGTGTATATTTAAATCAAAGATTCATTTTTATACATATAAATAAGTATGTGTGTGTGTATAAGACTTTGAGAAAGAGAAGATAAAATATCAAAGTTGAGGCAGATATTCCTTATGGCAGAAATAAGGAGTTTTTGAATTCAGGAAAATATTCAGGATTGATTCATCTCACTACCAGCCAAGTACCTCATCCACCAAGAGTTATACCTGGACAACTCTCCGACAAGTTATGAAAAAAAAACTGGAGGGGCAAAGAAAAAGGTTAGCAGCTAACAAGAACATCGCATCCTGTCAATCAAGGTTCACATCTCCTGCTCCATAAAATGCCCCATGATGAGAAAAATAAAATAGGAAGAAAACAGACTTTCCTTTCAAAATAGAAATGGAAAATATTTTTTATGACATTAGCCCAAGGAAGAGAATGTGCATTGTAAAGTGAAATGCCAAAGTGAGATACCATTCAGATGTTCTTTTAATCCAGCAGCCACTAATAATTTATTGTTGTAGCTATAGGAATGGGAAGTTCACAGATTTTTTATTTTCTTCTTAGGGAGTGACTGGAAAACTGAATGAGAATGCTTAGCTCTCCCAATCATAAATTTCCACCTTCATCTCCTTTTCCCTTTTTACCTTTCCATCCAACTGTATTTATTAATTAGAAGAAACTGTGGTCACCTTTCAAAGATATCAACACAGGTACACTTAAAATTGGAGAACTCTTCCAGGTGGCCCCCAAATACTTTTGGAAAAACCTGTGAACCCCTCTGATCAAAAACTTGTTTTAAGTATAAAACGAGAATACTGATGTTTCATCCTTCCAATTCACAAGGCTTTTGTGGGGACTTAACCCGAGAGGGATCAAAGGTAAGACAGACTACAAGAAACAAATGACCCAAATAGGCAAAGAGGAAAGTCATTCCTTCTAGAGCACTTGGTCCTTCGATGGCAGTTAAGAGCTTAACATTATAAAAAGCATCAAAGTGGTGTGAGGACTAGGGTCAGGAATCTCCTGGTGACACTCAGAGGCATCTTAGGCAAAGCACTTTCAATTCACTGGCTGTTTTCCTTAACTTTTAATATAATCATTGGATTAGAATAGATGACTTTATTCTTTATTATTCAAGGAGACTTACCAGAATGCTTGACCCAATAAATGCTTTTAATACATTTTAAAATTTAATTCAACACAGTTTTGTCATGCCTACTATTTACTGGGAGCTGTGTTAGGTGGGTGGTGGCCCCTGGCAGTGACTAGGACAAGTGTGGACCTGCCTTCAGGGAACTCATAACCGAGGGCTTGAAGAGGAAGTGACCTTGTAAAGTAGAGATCATGGGCAAGCCTTTTATGTAAAAGGTCAGATCGAAAATACTTTTGGCTTTGCAAGCTGTATGGTATCTGTCACAACTACTCATCTCTGCTGGTATAGCTCAAAACCAACCATAGGTAATACATAAACAAACAGGAGTGGCTGTGTTTCCATAAAGCTTTGTTTACAAAAGCTAACAGATATGGTCCATGGGCTGTAGTTCTGTAGTTTGTAGATTCCTGCTAAACCTCAGACGTGTTCTCCTTAATGGAAAAAAACAGATTCAGAAAACACAGTTCTGACTTCAGAAACAGAGATGGATTGGGGGAGAGAACTGTATTGCCAATAGAGTCTCTAAGGCAAGGTAAGGTGAAGTCGCTCAGTCATGTCCGACTCTTTGCGACCCCACGGACTGTAGCCCTCCGGGTGCTTCAGGACCCCCGTGCTCCTCCGTCCATGGGATTTTCCAGGCAAGAGTACTGGAGGGGGTTGCCATTTCCTTCTCCAGAGGATCTTCCCGACCCAGGGATCGAACCCAGGTCTCCCACATTGTAGGCAGACGCTTTACCATCTGAGTCACCAGGGAAGTCTCTTCTTAGTGTAAATAATAAGACTGTCATCAGCTGAAGACAAAATGCGGCAAAAGTCATAAATTACCCTGAGTTATAACACTGCCATTGCTTATGATCTTAATTGGACCGAATGTCTCGCTTGAGAAAATTTCTCCAGTGATGGCAGGCAATTGAGGCATAAGGAATTACACCTGATGAAAACATAGACTGGAGATGAGCAAACATGGTGAGTCATCCACGCTCAACCCAGAGCTGAGCACATCAAAAAACCCGCCCAAAAAAGCAGAAGAACCCAACAAAAAAGAGGACCTACAACAGCCGTTGTTGTTGTTTACTCGCTAAGTCGTGGACTGTAGCCCACCAGGTGCTTCTATCCATTGGATTTTCTAGGCAAGAATACTGGAGTGGGTTGCCATTTCCTGCTCTAGGGGATCTTCCCAACCCAGGGATGAAACCATTGTCTCCCGCATTGTAGGCAGTTTCTTTCCCACATAAAGGGAAGAGCCTTAATGTAGCCTGCATGCATGCAGGTCATTTCAGCTGTGTCCGATTCTTTGCAACCCTATGGACTGTAGCCTGCCAGGCTCCTCTGTCCATGAGATTCTCCAAGCAAGAATACTGGAGTGGGTTGCCATGACCTCCTCCAGGGGATCTTCCCATCCAGGGATCAAATCCACGACTCCCGCATTGCATGTGGATTCTTTACCACTGAGCCACCAGGGAAGCCCTCATATAGCCTAAAACCATCTTAAAAGCACTGAGCATCATGTTCTTCAAGACTTAAAAATGAGCATATTTTCTGCTTCCTCATGTCATGTTCAGCAGAGTTAAGTATACAGAAGAGAAAATGAGAAATTCAGGCCTCTAGCAAACACAAAGTCTAATAACGCCCTGAGCCTCATAGTCAGAGACTTGGTTCTCTGACCTCTGACCTGCCCTCTTCTGTCCCCTCTAAAGAGTTAAGTATACAGAAGAGAAAGTGAGAAATTCAGGCCTCTAGCAAACACAAAGTCTAATAACGCCCTGAGCCTCATAGTCAGAGACTTGGTTCTCTGACCTCTGACCTGCCCTCTTCTGTCCCCTCTACACAGACCGAGATATAAAGCAATTAGGCCAGGGAGACAAGCATATGTTTTTGATCTATTATTTCATACCTGGTAACGGATTAGGGTTTTTGGTTAAGTTTCAATTGAAGTTCTTACAATATTGCTTCTGTTTTATGTTTTAGTTTTTTGGCCACCAGACATGTGGGGATCTCAGCTCCCTAACCCAGGGATCAGATCCCCACTCCCTGCATTGGAAGGTGAAGTTCCAACCCCTGCACCGCCAGGGAAGTCCTTCGATTAGGTTTTTACGAACCACATGCTTTCTCCTCCTCCCACCTGCACTTCACCTTCATAAAATATCAGAATAGGAGGTGCCAAGAGGGACACATGGTGTAATAGAATTAGCCATCTGTACCCCCTCCTCCTGTGAGAACCACTGACGCGGCTTCCTCCCAAGGAGCTAGTTCTGGCAGAAGTCTTTTGGGGATTCACACTTTATTTTAAAGTATGGCCAGTCCTTCCAAGTCCTTAAAATTATTAGAGATGCACTACTATCCATGAACTCATATGTGAAATTGAGATCTAAATGAAACAGATAATTACAAGGCCATGATTTGCTTCATGAAAACCATGTGTGGTCATCCCTAAGGCATTTCCAATCCATTAAGGTTTCATTACGCTATCATTGCCAAAAATAATGCTTTTCCACCTCCTGGACTAATTCCTATTTAAAAACTAGGTGTTTTCAGAAACATGGCATGGAATTTCCCCCCACCCATTGGGCAATTCTTTGATAATAATATTTTGATGTACTCAAAAGCTTTCAGCTTAGTTGTCTCAAACAAAGAAGGTAGGTAGTGTTGAAGGAAATCCAACAAAACTAAAGAACATCAGAATTGTTAGAATAACTGCATAATAGCATGTGAAATAAAATTGTGTTATCCTTTACAAAGCATGGGCTGGAGGGAAAAAAAAGAGGCACTTAAAAAGGATAAATAAAAGATTTATACATTTTGGTTAATCAAAACTCCAAACTATTAGCTACAGTTAACAAAATTGGGAGTATAATTTCAGCTAAAAGAGCTTTTTCTTTTCCTAATGTAGTTGTTGTTCTGTTTTTAAACATATATTGTTGATTTGGTAGAGCACAAAAATCCTCAAGTATCTCGTTTATTATACAGTTTCTACTTTCCTAAAGTTACTTGAGATTTCACACCCAGAAAAAAAGGACCCTGACATCCTCAAGGATCTAGTTCATTTTACACACTAAGACAGGAAGTAGAATTTTAGATAGAGTTTCAACAAAAACACTGAAGCAAAACAAAACCATCTGATTAACTTTTCAACCCCACATTGAGATGAACAACATTCCTCATTTCCTGAGACCCTTATCTGGGATCAATTATGATCAGATCAACTCAGCCCAGAGGAGAGGAGGTCATAGTCTGTGGTCCTCCTGGAGAAACTGAAGCTCCTGTTCACACATAGGTTTGGCCTGGTCATCCCAGGGTTGATCTGAGCAAGTGATAAAGGTAATAGCAAATTCCACCCAACCACCTTGGGTTCATACACACCTGGAAGAATTTCATCCCACCAGATATTCACATAGTCATCTCGGTCTGTCCTTGACTGTTCATGGTAAAACCCCAGAGCGTGCAAAATCTCATGTTCAACGGTGGCCTTATAGTCACATCCCTGACCAATAGAGAGGTTCTGTCCCACGTGTCGGTCACCAACCTCAGACCAGCACCTTTAGAAAAGAGATAGAAATTTTCTTCTAGAGAATTCTCAAGTGGCTGTAATTCCTAAGTTTCCAGAATACAAATTTGAAGGTTAGGTTTGATTTTAAGAAGAAGTTATTATTAGTCTTTTCGTATGCTAATGGTTCAACCTATGTGACTGGTTAAAAAAGCAGCATTTCCTGGAGGGATTATTATGTAGGCTTTACAAGTGACAGACCATTATAAAAGTGGTATCTACTCAAAGGAAAATCAAACCTAATAATGCATCAGGTAAAAAGAAGGAAAAACTGGCTATTTTCTTCACCGTCACAAACCCATGGGGCAGTCCAAAAAAAATAATGCTATTGTTTTTATACCACAAAGGTGTCTCTGAGTGGTGGCTATGGTTGATTTATACTTTCTCCTTTACATTTTAATGACTTTTCAAATTTTCTGTAATGAGAAGCTATATGCTTTATGATTATGAAAAAGACCCTTATTAAAAATGCAAGTTCATCAAGTTCATATCTTGGGATTTTTCCAAATCTGCAGCATTATGACAGCACACAGCAGGCTGCCTAACTTATGTCTAAAAGGCTCCAGGCAAGAAAGACTCATAAATTCCCTCAGAAAATAGTGGACTCGGGAACTGCTGGCAGATACTCTAAATTCCTCACATGCAGGCTCTTTCCCTCTTTTTCCCAATTATTTTTGTTTTTGCTCATAAATCTGATTTTCCATCGCTATTAGCAAACCAGGAGCTGTACACAAATTGTCTCCTTGCCCCCTTTAAGTTGAGGAACAAGGCTCTATACACTGACCCGTGCTCAACAGGATGAGATGTACCAATCATTTTAAATGCTACCAATGAAGTGTGAGTTCCTTGGTGACAATCACATTAAATTACCTGCTATTGCTTTCCCCAAATTGCTAACATCTTATATGTTCAGATGCTAGTAGACTTGAATTCTACTCAAAAACGGATCTTAGTTATTTTCTAACAACTTTATTAAGGTGTAATTTACATACCATAAAATTCACCAATTTTAAGGGTACAATTCAACAATCTTTAGTAAATGTATTGAGCTGTGCAAATATCACCATGTTTGCCTTGCCTCTCAGATAATAGCATTTCATTACCAAGTCAGAATTTACTCTGCAAAATATCCACAATCCAGAGAAAGCATATATTATTTAACATTTTTAACATCCCTCCCCCAAAGAAAGGTACAAGTTGTAAAATACCACGGCATTACCACTCTGAAATTTTGACCTTATCTTTCTGGAAGAACCCTGTTAACCTCCAGCTTCAGAGCATCAGGATCTCCAAGGGTTTGGGGTGCTTTGGGCCAGTCATTCCCTGGACCTTCTTCCCCCCTTTTTCTCTCCCTCTAACTTACATGTAAGAGACAGCCCAACCACAGGCAATGAGAGTCCCCAGATTGATGGGTTGGTTTTTTTCCAAGAAAGAATTTTATTTTCAAAAAATTTTAAAATTTACTATTTGCTTATCTTTTATTGAAGTATAATGTCTTTACAATGTTAGTTTCTGCTGTAGAACACCACGAGTCAGCTATATGTTTGTATATCCCCTCCGCCTTGGACCTGCCTCTCACCCTCCCCCCGTCCCACCCATCTCCGTCACCGCGGAGCTCGGAGCTGAGCATCCCTTGTTACACAGGATGTTACCTCTCTTCCCACTCTCTATTTGTTCTTCCTTCTCCTCTGCCTCTACAGTCTTCCTCCTCCTCCATCTCTCTGACCCTCGGCGCTGCTCTCCCTGAGCCTTCGATTCCCTCTGTGTTAGAGATCCTGCGTCTGCATTCACCGTAGCATATTAGAGCTGTGTACTTATTACCCCACCGCCCCTCCTGCCAACTGCGCACCTTATGAGGTCTAAGACTCTTCTCTTGAGAAGCTAAAACAAATGCTAACTTCCTTCTCTCCCTTTGTTATTCATCCATGATATACAAAATCCCCACCTTCACAACTAGACGGCCAAATCCAGGCAACGCCTAGAGGCTGTGATGGGCACCACAATGTGAAGAGAAACCTCCAGGTGGGTCTTTTTTTTTTCTTTTTCTTAATTTTTATTGGACTATAGCTGGAGAAGGAAATGGCAACCCACTCCAGTACTCTTGCCTAGAAAATCCCATGGACAGAGCGACTGAACTGACTGGCTGAGAACCTCCTGTATAGCACAGGAAACTCTACTGAGTGCTCTGTGGGGACCTAAATGGGAAGGAAATCCAAAAAAAGGAGGGGATATATGTGTACATATAGCCGATTCACTTCACTGTACAGCGGAAGCTAACAGGACATTGTGAAGCAACTATGCGTGAGTGAAGTTGCTCAGTCGTGTCCGACTCTTTGCGACCCCATGAACCGCAGCACGCCAGGCCTCCTTGTCCATCACCAGCTCCCAGAGTTTACTCAAACTCATGTCCATGGAGTTGGTGATGTCATCCAGCTATCTCATCCTCTGTCGTCCCCTTCGCCTCCTGCCCCCAATCCCTCCCAGCATCAGGGTCTTTTCCAATGAGTCAGCTCTTCACATGAGGTGGCCAAAGTATTGGAGTTTCAGCTTCAGCCTCTCATTAGTTACATATGTTATACATAGTATCAATAGTGTATATATGTCAGTCCCAGTCTTCCATTCATCCCATCCCTTCTTCCCCTCCTTGGTATCCCTGTTTGTTCTCTACGCCTGAGGTACATATAGACAATGAAATATTACTCAGCCATTAAAAAGAATGAAATTTTGTACCATTTGCAGAGGTGTAGATGGACCTAGAGACTTTCATACATAGTGAAGTAAATCAGAAAGAGAAAAGCAAATAATCATATAATATCACTTACATTGACAGAACTTTTCAGAGAAGTCTAGCCAACAGAGTACTAATAATTGAAAAGAGTACCATCAATAGAATGAAGCTTTAATAAACTTGATTTTTTTTTTAAAAAAAGGGCTGTAATTTAAAACATGACCTCAACCCAGAAAAGAACTGAGATGAGTCTCCCTAGTTCCTAGAGGTATCCAAACAATGCATTCTTCATAGAGCACAATAAAAATGTGATGCCACTTTAAGAAATTCACAGTGAAATATTTGATTTTGCTTTTAGTTTCTTTCCAATTTCTTTGTTTAGTCTTTAAAAGAGATCTGTCACTTTTTCTAAGTCAGAGGATGGATTTCACACTCTGTAACATTTCATACTCACCCACTAAACTCCTGAAAGATGATGTATGAGCTCTCGCCTTCATAGGGCTTGAAATCTACACAGGACTTGAGGCGGAACATTTCAAAGGCATAGAGAATGGCTCCTTTGGCATTCAGTGCTGCAGAAATCAATAAAGCTACCAGTGAGCCTTAGCTAGATCTGGGATAATATATATAACCTAGAAACATAGAAACTCATGCTGCTGTATGAAATCCACTGAAGTCCATGATAGATTTTTCGATACTCAATATAGCCCTTGGAAACTAAAACTGACAAACCATTTGTGTATACAAACACACTAAATGCTAAATACATAATATGTCTGTGTGTGTGTGTATGTGTGTGTATATATATATATATCTACAGAATAAGAATACACTATGGTATGTGTAGCTGAACAAAATCATAAAATAATTTCCCCACTTTCTCCCTTTCGTTTTCCCTCATTTAAGCAAAAATTCTGAGTGCATTGCCTCAAGAGACCAACATTGCCGAGCAGAAGACAGAAGTGACTTGAGTCACTTCTGTCTTCTGGATAAACAAATTACCTTGGAGAGAAGCAGTGAGAGTGGGGTTCCTTCCCCCAATCTAAAGAGACTCTCCCTCTTGCTGGAGAAAGACAGCAGAACTGAGAGAGATTTGAGGGTTCTGAAAGCATAAGAAGTTAAGTGTCACATTTACACAGCTTCCCTGTAGGATCCCCATGAGATGACAAGGCTAGACAGGGAGTTCTGCAGACAGCCTTAGAAAAGATTTCTGTAACCCAAGTTTGGAACCAAAGCAGCAGAAACCTATGTACCTGAATCAGCAAGAGTAATAGAGGCCTGTTAGTAACCTTTGCGGATTGATGACCAAAGATCAAATGTCACTCCTTTCGCTTAACCCGCACGTGTGCTTACCTTGGTATTGCATAAGACAAGGACGAGGTGGAGGAGAAAGATACACCAGAGGAAAGGAGATTGTTTTCTCACTTTGTGTGTGTGTGGTTTTTAACCCCATCGTTGGTTGTAGGTCTCTAAGTTAAAAATTAAGCTAAGTTCTATAAAATTAAATTGTATTCTTGCATACTTGATTTTTGTGGATTCTCCCAAAGAGTTTATCATTCTTGGCACTTTACCATGTACTTATCTCACATTTTTCTGGCCTTTATTTAAGGAACTCCTGAGTCAGAGACTCTACATTCAGATGTCATAAAATCATATTAAGGTCATTAAAGGAAGTCATTGGAATAATCAGTAAATAAATTGTGGGAATAACACACACAACAACAGTAGGAGCATGCATTAAACCTGTTTGAAGATTTTCATGAACTTTTATGTATTCTCACTGAGTAATATCTTTAAATTGAAGACAGCTTGGTTGCCACAAAATGTAAGAAAACAGTTTGACTATAATTCAAGTCACCTGTCTATAAGCTTATGTTGCTTTTGTTATCTTCAACCCAAATGGTGGAAACACTGAGAGTGGTGGATTTAAAAATCACATCTCATTGTTTGCAGGGCAGGAATAGAGATGCAGACGCAGAGAGTGGACATGTGGACTCTGTGAGGGGAGGGAAGGGAAGGGTTGGACAAATTGGGAGATTAGGACTAACATATATACACTACCACGTGTAAAATAGATAGCTAGTGAGAACCAACTGTATAGCACAGGGAGCTCTGTGATGACCTAGAAGGGTGGGATTGGGAGGGAAGGAGGAAGGGAAGTTCAAGAGGGAGGAGATCTATGTATTCAGTGGCAGATTCACTTAGCTGTAGAGCAGAAATTAACACAACATTGTAAAGCAATTATACTCCAATAAAGAACATAACTGAGAACAATAGCATTTTTTTCTATGTAACTTTTCTCCTGAAAAGGCGCTGGAAGCAACACTGATACAAGTGATGGAAAATCTTGAAACACAATCTACATCTCCTGAGAGTGGGAGCAGCCCAGCAGCTCATTAAGATTGAGCAACACTGTCCTGACTTCCCCTCTGCTCTGGAGTCTTCCCATCCACAGAGGACGGGCCTCCCAGACAGGCATCACATCATCGTGGCTGTTGAGCTGTTAGTCAGCTGCTTGAGGTCAGCCAATGTCCACACATGGCTTCTAATATTTATTTTATTTCCAACTACTCTTATTTCCAATGATGAGCAAAATCTAATTTATATTGTCCTTTTTCTTAAGAGACAGAAAAGAATAGAAAATTTTAATACCAAGGAACGAGAGTGATGAACATATGAAATATGGTCTTTTCTATTTCTCAAAAATGTGACATGTTTGTTTTGCAACAGAAAGGGAAGAAATCAGTATGCTGAAACTGATATCCTGGTACCATATTTAGAGTCACTTAAACAAAACTCTTATTTCAGGTGTACATCTTTCATTGTTTTGATGTCAAATTGTATTCCATTTTTGTACTTTGTGTTGCTCTCTTGGTCTAATTAACATGTTAGTGTGTTCTGCATTTTAAAAAGTACTATTTGACATTCTGCATCTTAGATTGGTTAAGCAGCATGAGTTTCCATGAGATAAAGACTCATCAGAGCTTAGAAACTCCTTTAGATATTGGCAGTTACTCAACTTTGAAGCTGATGACCCGGAAGAGAGAGGAGAGAGAAGAGTTCAACTCAAGGCTTCTAATACAGAACAATTAGTGTTACCCAGATTGTCGGCCAGGATGTAAGGGATGGGGAACTTCCACCTGGTGCTCGGGTCTCTCAGGCCATTTCTGGAATTCTGCAGAAACAAAAGGCAAAGCAGACTGGATGGCTGGTCTCCTTGGCTTCCTTTCCCCTTTGTAAACTCTCACATCACAAACAATCTGTCACACTATTTAAATAGTCACGTTGTCTTCCAATTATAAAAACAATAAATGTCCATTATAGACAATATAGAAATTTCCAGAGAAATTTTTAAGACCAAATAAAGGATGCTTGCTCCTTGAAAGAAAAGCTATGACTAACCTAAACAGCATATTAAAAAGCAGAGATATTACTTTGCTGACCAAGGTCTATATAGGCAAAGTTATGGATTTTCCAGTAGTCATGTACGGATGCGAGTGTTGGACCATAAAGAAGACTGAGCACCAAAGAATTGATGCTTCCTAATGGTGGTGGTGGAGAAGATTCCTGAGAGTCCCTTGGACTGCAAGTGGGTCAAACCAGTCAGTTCGAAAGAAAACCAACCCTGAATAGTTATTGGAAGGACTGATGCTGAAGCTGAAGCTCCAGTACTTTGGTCACCTGAAGAAGAGCCTACTCATTGGAAAAAAAACCCTGAGGCAGGGAAAGATTGAAGGCAAAAGGAGAAGGGGGTGACAGAGGATGAGATGGTTGAATGGCATCACCAACTCAATGGATATGAGTTTGAGCACACTCTGGGAGATGGTGAGGCACAGGGAAGACTGGTGTACTGCAGTCCATGGGATTGCAAAGAGGCAGACATGACTCAACAATTGAACAACTATGAAAGAGACCTACATTTCCTCAAAACTGAAATAGTCACTTTCAGTATGGTGGTGGATTTCCTTCTCTCTCATTCTTCACTTCTTAGGAAAATTGGGTGGACAAAGAATTTAATAATTATAGACTCTTTCATTTTAGTCACTAATGTTTTCATCTTTTTTTTTTTTTTAAACCGGCAATCACAGTGGAAGTCTTTGTGCATACAAATCATGGCTGAGATTCTTTCATCTCCACAATGGTCATCCCAGGCAGCGCTGGACAGAGCAGGGCTCACTGTCCTGTCACAGCCAGTCCTGTGGGAATGTTCTGGTGTCACTGGAAGGTACTCACCTGCAAGAGGATGTCCCCTTGAAAGAGGTCCAAGCCTGCAGCTAGATGTGGATTTAAAAAGAGAAATATTTGAACAAGAATTGCTAAAACGCATCTCTTATAAAATGAGTCTTTTTCATTGTTGTCTTTAGTTATTCATCTTTATGTGGTTAAACTCTTTTTGAAACAATACAAAAATTCATTTTAATTGAACAAATGTAAATAGCTAATAAATATCATATATTGTCGCATCCACTGTTGCCATTTTTTGGGACAAGAAAACTTAGAGGGTATTTGGCTTAGTGAAATAAGTCAGATGAAGAAAGACAAGTATTCTATGTTATAACTTCCATGTGAAATCTAAAAAATAAAACAAACTAGTGAATAATAAAACACAAACATAGAGACACAGAGAACAAACTCTTTACCAGTGAAGAATGAAAAGGAGGTTGGGAAGGGCAAGAGAGGCGTAGGGGATAAAGAAGGACAAACTACTGTTTATAAAATAAATGTCACAAAGATACAGTGTACAGCATAGGAAATATATCCAGTATCTTATAATAAATATGAATGGAGTATGATCTGTAAAAATATTTGATCACTAAGTTGTACATCTGAAAGGAATATAATAGTGTAAATCAACTATACTTCAATGAAAAAAAAGAAACCTTGTCCAAGAACCTTAAAAAGTGAGAGGTGAATTAGAAGGAAACTTTTTGGTCATTGGCGTCAAAACTCTTATACTCTAGGACTCAAAATGGGACTTCTGAGATAGGAAGTGAGGTACTAGGAGGTCATTTCAAAATGAAAACTGGAAAAATGAATTCTTTATTTAAAAAAATCTTGTTATATATTTCTAGAGCCACTGAATACTCACTAGTTCTAGAAAATTCAGTCTAACCATTATTCTCTTTTCATGTTTTCATTTTTCAGAAATGCTGCAAATTCTTTTTTTTTTTTGAACTCTTTTTTGTTGTTGTTGTTATTTTATTTTTCATTTATTTTTATTAGTTGGAGGCTAATTACTTTACATCATTGCAGTAGTTTTTGTCATACATTGAAATGAATTAGCCATGGATTTACATGTATTCCCCATCCCGGTCCCCCCTCCCACCTCCCTCTCCACCCGATCCCTCTGGGTCTTCCCAGTGCACCAGGCCCGAGCACTTGTCTCATGCACCCAACCTGGGCTGGTGATCTGTTTCACCCTAGATAATATACATGTTTCAATGCTGTTCTCTTGAAACATCCCACCCTCGCCTTCTCCCAGAGTCCACAAGTCTGTTCTATACATCTGAGTCTCTTTTTCTGTTTTGCATATAGGGTTATCGTTACCATCTTTCTAAATTCCATATATATGTGTTAGTATACTGTAATGGTCTTTATCTTTCTGGCTTACTTCACTCTGTATAATGGGCTCCAGTTTCATCCATCTCATTAGAACTGATTCAAATGAATTCTTTTTAATGGCTGAGTAATATTCCATGGTGTATATGTACCACAGCTTCCTCATCCATTCGTCTGCTGATGGGCATCTGGGTTGCTTCCATGTCCTGGCTATTATAAACAGTGCTGCGATGAACATTGGGGTGCACGTGTCTCTTTCAGATCTGGTTTCCTTGGTGTGTATGCCCAGAAGTGGGATTGCTGGGTCATATGGCAGTTCTATTTCCAGCTTTTTAAGAAATCTCCACACTGTTTTCCATAGTGGCTGTACTAATTTGCATTCCCACCAACAGTGTAAGAGGGTTCCCTTTTCTCCACACCCTCTCCAGCATTTATTGCTTGTAGACTTTTGGATAGCAGAAATGCTGCAAATTCTAATGAGGCAGCAGTGAATAGTTCTCTTCTAAAGTTACTCAATATCATATTCTGAAAGTTAAGAGATTTTCAGCAATTCTATCACAGAGTTTTAAATTATTTAAAGACATTAATAATGGCAGAAATTACACCCACCTAAGTTGATTTCTGAAATATCCTTCTGTTCCTCAAATTCTCCATCATATACTGTTAAAAGTGGGGAGAAAATTATTATCAGTCTTGCTGAGCAAATGAAAGTTCAGAAAACACTCTATGTATTTCAATTAGTTCTTACCATTTCCTTTAGAAAGATGGTTAATCTGAAAAGAAATAAATATTCAGAAAAAGGATAACATATACTGGAATTAATATTTCTAAATACCCTGAAGAGTAGAACCCTACTTACCGACACAGCTGCTATGTGGGCAAAAAAACAGATGAAAGAAATAATGCAAGCCAATCTCATCCAAATCATTGTTGCAAGTGAATAGATTTTAGCAACGACACCTTGTCATAAGCAAAGACACCTTGGACCTTGCTCCGGCTTTCATATTAGAAACTTTGACCCTTACATATGTTCTGTAGCGCTGAAGTTCTATATCTTTGCTGATTTGAGGACAAAGTTTCACAGAAAAGCTCAAGTTCCAAAGACTAGAGAAGTTTGAAAAAGTTTATACTGAGATGAGCATACAAAAACAAGTAACATTCCTACATACCAGGAATAGCCATTCATATACATAGCATAGTGTAACAGGTGTAAGATCCATTTCATAATAGAAATAAAAGCTATCTATAAAATGATAACAAATTACTTAAATCAAATAAAAATGATTTAGAGTTGTATGTAAATATAAAGTAATTATTAAAGAACGTAAAGAACTATCTATACACACACATATATATATTCATGGACAGGAAGACTCAGTATAATAAAGATGGCCATTAATTTGATATTAGTCTATAAACTCAATGTTATTTCAATAAAAATCTTTTTAACAATTTTTAATTGATGTATAGTTGATTTACAATGTTGTATTAGTTTTGGGTATACAGCACAGTGATTCAATTATACATAAATATATGCATATACTTTAGATTCTTTTCCTGTATAGTTTATTACAAAATATTGAGTAGAGTTTCCTGTGCTGTACAGTAGGTCCTTGTTGGTTCTATATTTTATATATAGTAATGTGGATATGTTAGTCTCAGCATCCTAATTTTCCCTCCTTCCCCCTTTCCCTTTTGGTAGCCATAGTTTGCTTCCTATATCTGTGAGTCTCTTTCTGTTTTGTAAATAAGCTAAATATATCTTTTTTTTTATTCCACACATAAGTGATATCATATGACATTTGTCTTTCTCCATTTGCTTTATTTCACTTAGTATGATAATATCTGTGTCCATCCATGTGGCCCCAAACAGTATAATTTCATTCTTTGTTATGGTTGAGTAATATTCCATTGTGTATTTGTATCACATCTTCTTATCTGTTCCTCTGTTGAAAGACATTTAGGTTGCTTTCAGCCAGATAAGATTTTATCTTTCCCTGTCTGCTTAGACTTATTTGCACAACTTACTCTAGTGGTGAACTTGGAATCAGATGGATAGAAAAATTGAATCCTACATCTACCACTGGGCATGTGTGGCATTTTGAGCATTTGCTTTCCATGTGTCAAAAAAAGGAGGGGTACCTATTTAAGGGGTCTAATGTAGAGAATCAATGAGATGACCTATGTAAACCACAAGGACCATAGGAAGTACTCAGTAAACTGTAACACTTTATCCACGTACATACCTCCTGGCAAAGGACAGGCGTCCTCTGCTCAGCAGAACCTCTGGGTGGGAGCATGTCTTCAGCAGATACAGCTTCTCCCTGGTGAGTTTCTTTTTATGATCTCGATTGCAGGTGTTAATTAGTTACCAGTTATTTGCAGTCCCAGGCACTTCTTGCCCCAGGGTGTCAAGTGAGTAAGGCTGAGCCTCAAGCCTTAGGTTTAAAGGGGCCTATACCTTTGCAGTTAAAAGACAGATTATGCAATCCTTGGGGCAAGGCCCATGTTTTATTTTCTGTACCTGCCCTGATGTTTGGCACACAGTAGGCAGTTGGTGATCATGTTGGGTGAAATACAGTAAAAATACCATTTTTTTTAATGTTTTGGATGTAGTGATAAGCTCTGAGTTCAGTGAGGGCATTTTACAAATCAACCAGTTGAGAAAGCAGGGTGAAGACTGGAAGAAGAAAGCCATCGGCAGGTGGAAAGAGGGACAACTCTCCCTTAAGTGTTTCAGACATGCTCTAGCTTCACAAAAGCCCAGGCCAGACCTGCTCAGGACTAAGGTTGGAGGCTGCCAACAATCTCTCACCCCATCTCCTTCTCAGGAGTGTCCTCTGCCCATTGCTTCCTCCACTTTCTGCTCTCTTCTGAGACACCTGTTGCTTCTCCTTCATGCACAGAGTTCTGCCCTCGGCTTAACCTCCAACACAACTGCCTTTGCTGTACCTCCAGGGAATCAGCTTGTTCCCTGGGGATCAGAGGCTTTTAGAGGAAGATGTGGCAAATTGTTTTCTGAAAAGGTCAAAGAGTAAATATTTCAGGCTGTGCAGGTCTTGTGGTCTCTGTGGCAACTATTCAAGTCTGCTCTTGCAGCTGGAAGGCAGCCAAAGATCTAAGCATAAAGGAGTGAGTGTGGCCACATTCCAATAAAACTTTGCTGACAAAAATTATGTAAAGGGGCATAACTTACTGACCCCTGAGTTTTAGAGAATTGACTCTTTAAGATGGTGGAGATCAGCTCAGTTCAGTCATTCAGTCGTGTCC